CTAGTCGTGTCCTCTTTTGGAAGACCAAACAAAGTAGTTTCGCTTTCACAACGAAACACACAGCGGCTTCACGACATGGCGGCGGCAACAACAATACTACAGCGAGAATCAAAGTTACGCCTTCTTTCTTTGCGTGAACATTTGGGCGGCGTTATGCAACTCTTCCCACACTGTGATGTAGACATGTGGGGGCGTGTTTGAACGAGGCATTTTAGGTAGGCGTGGACAAGTCTTAACTTTTATAAAGAATATCTCTTTGGATTTGAGACTTTAGTCTTTGCAACTTTAGGGATCTTATCTATGTACGAACAGCTTGTAACACTCCAAAGAGAAAGGAAAATTTGAAATTGCATCATATGACCCCTTTAATGCTTTTTGAGGCCAAACTTTTTTCTTTTTCTTTTTTGGCGCATGTCAGCTGATGTCAGACCTGCCATGATGAATTCATTTTGAGATTTGATTGGAAAGCTACAGTGAGGGGGGAATTTGCAATTTGCCAAAAAAAAGAGAGAAAACATTGCATACATGTTGTTTTCGTAACAAGTATTCTTTTTAAAAGTATGCTAAAGTGTAATTATTTGTCACAAGGGTGATCACATCTTTTAAACAGGTTTTCATTGTATTTGTTTAATGTACTGTGTCTGTGGCATTGGCAGATCCAGGGTCAGCCGGTAATGGGGCAGCTGATTCCAGAGTGTTATGTGGAGTTGGAGAGGAGAGTTTTACAGGAGAGGTCACATGTACCCACTGATTTCCCAGTGCTCAGACACAGCAGACTGCTGGAGATCATACAGGAAACACAGCTGCAGTTAGAGGAGGGAGAGTTACCCCACGCTATCCACTTCCTCAGCGAGGCTGGTGAGAGTTGTTTCACTCCTGAATCCCTTTCTGATGTCTTCTTGCTGTTTATGTCCAATTTGTTGTTGTTTCTTCAGTTTTGGGCACATGCATGTTCCTAGGGAATGTTCTTAATCACTTATATATTTTTGCTCATTTTAGTTGCCTTATGTATTTGATTTATTGTTTTAACCTAGTAAACAGACCTCCTGTCTGTGTTTGTCTCCAGGTGTCCTGCTTCACTTTGATGATCCAGTGCTTCAGCTAAAGGATTTGTATTTCATTGACCCACAATGGCTTTGTAACCTCATCTCACAGGTTAAACATACACACTCGCACACACACACACACACACACACACACACACCTTGCTTCTCCCTGTGATTCGTTCATAGCAGTAACGTCTCATCTGTTGTGTTGATTGACAGACGTTGACTCTGAGGAGCACTGGTCAGTGGGACACCACTAGAGGAGTGGTGCAGCGAACCACTGTCGAAAAGTTTCTGAACAAAAGTCGCTGTTTCCCCAAGGATCATCTGACTCAGTACTTCAAACTATTGGAAAAGTTTCAAATTGCCCTGCCCTTCGGAGATGACCAGTTACTTATACCTAGCAGGTAGTGATAGGATCTCTTTTAATTAAATTGATACAAAGTGGTGTACAGTGGTAGTTTTTCATGTTTGATATGTCCCCAGCCTGTCAGATCATAGGCCGGTGATTGAGCTTCCCCACTGTGAGAATTCAGAGGTGATTGTTCGGCTTTATGAGATGCCGTACTTCCCCATGGGCTACTGGTCCAGACAGATCAGCCGTCTGTTGGAAGTGTCTGCTTTCCTGCTCTACGGCAAAGGTAACACAACACAAACACTAGAAGTCAGGATAAATTATTCCTGTATCTAGTTGAACATTGCACTTGCCATGGCACAAGCATGGGCTTGATTCCCAAGGTACAAACATACTAATATAATGTATTATAAACATATTGCTTGAATGCACTGTGAGTTGCATGGGTCTGCCAAATGAATAGCAAGTAAGACAGTTTGTGAATGTGTGTGTACTCTACAGAGAAAGCATTGAGACCAAACCGGATCTACTGGAGGAAGGGCATCTATCTGAGCTGGTCTGCTGAAGCTTACTGTCTGGTGGAGGCCTTGTCTCTAGAAGAGAACCCTGCTAGCTTCATCAAGGTCACCGTCCCCTGCTCTCGCAAAGGTAAAAGAGAGGTGTTTTCTTTAGGCCATCCTAAATAGTACAGTAATAGTGATGACAATTGTGATTTTATAATAGTAACGTAATAGTGATGACAGTGGTGACTACGATGTGGTGATGCGATTATATTGTCGGAATTTTGATGATGTGATGTTGATAATGGTATACTGGTCATGATGATGTTGATGTCATGATGATGGTGTGATGATTATGATGATTATTGTGATGGTGATTAGTGATGCATTTGATTGATGTGACGGTGATAGTGATGCATTTGATTCAATGATAGTAATGATGGTTGTGGTGGTGATGATGACGATGTTGTGATGTGATGGTGGTAGTGATGCATTCGATTCATTGATAGTAATGATGATTATGATGGTGGTGATTGTGATAGTGTTGGTGATGTTGTGAGGTGATATGATGTGATGATTTTGATGATTATTATGATAGTGAAAGTGATGCATTTGATTCAATGATAGTAATGATGATTGTAGTGGTGGTGATTGTGATGTTGTGATGTGATTGTGATAGTGGTGCATTTGATTCAACGATAGTAATGATGGTTGTGGTGGTGATGATTGTGATAGTTTCAGTGATGATGATAATGATGAAGTTGGGATGTGATGGTGGTAGTGATGAAATAGTGATTCATTTGATTCAGTGATATTAATGATGATTTTGGTGGTGATGATGATGTTGTTGTGATGTTATGGTGATTAGTGATGCATTATATTAATTGATAGTAATGATTATGATGGTGGTGATTGTGATAGTGTTGGTGATGTTGTGATGTGAGGATTTTGATGATTATTGTGATAGTGATGCATTTGATTTAATGATAGTAATGATGATTGTAGTGGTGGTGATTGTGATGCTGTTGTGATGTGATGGTGGTAGTGATGCATTCGATTCATTGATAGTAATGATGATTATGATGGTGGTGATTGTGATAGTGTTGGTGATGTTGTTATGTGATATGATGTGATGATTTTGATGATTATTATGATAGTGATAGTGATGCATTTCATTCAGTTATAGTAATGATGATTGTAGTGGTGGTGATTGTGATGCTGTTGTGATGTGATGGTGGTAGTGATGCATTCGATTCATTGATAGTAATGATGATTATGATGGTGGTGATTGTCGTAGTTGGTGATGTTGTGAGGTGATATGATGTGATGATTTTGATGATTATTATGATAGTGATGCATTTGATTCAACGATAGTAATGACGGTTGTGGTGGTGATGATTATGATAGTGTCAGTGATGAATGATGATGATGAAGTTGTGATGTGATAGTGATTTGTTTGCTTCAATGATATTAATGGTAATTTTGGTGGTGGTGATTATGATAGTGTTGGTGATGTTGATGTTGTGATGTGATGCTGTTGTGATGAGATAGTGATGCATTCAATTCAGTGATAGTAATGATGATTGTGGTGGTGATGATGATGATTGTAATAGTGTCGGTGATGATGACAGATGATTGTTATGGTGGCAATGCGATGTTATGGTGGTGGTGGTGATGCTGATGTGATTTTAATGATAATGCTTTGTTGAAGATGACGTGGTGGTTTTGATGTTCTTTTGATGGCATTGTGTTGATAACGTTACCTGTCCTCTGTGTAGGTCGTGTGTTGTTTGGGCAGGTGGTGGATCACATTGACTCTCTGCTGGAGGAATGGTTTCCAGGCCTCCTCACCACTGATGTCCGTGGTACTGGAGAGACACTGCTTAAGAAATGGGCTCTGTACAGCTTCAGTGATGGACAAAACTGCCAGAAGATGCTGCTGGAAGATCTACTCTCCAGCATCAATGCAGGTCTGTATCCATTCTGCTCACATTCAGAAACACAACTCCTTTAATGATAACCTTATGTATAAAAATGGTGCAAAACCTGTGCTGCACTGACTGGTTGCTTGTCTGTAAGATGGTTTGCTGGTGAACCCAGAGGACCCCAGCTGTACTCTGCCCATCTCTCAGATCTCTCCAGACCTTGTATTGAGTGACCAGCCATCCAGCACCATACTGGATCCAGAGCAGCTGGAGATGGAGCTCTCTATGGAGTATAGGTTGGGTTAGTACACGAATACATTTTTACATCTCTAAGTCAGAGACCAAAAAATAAATGCCTGTATTGCATGTAATCGGCTACCCTACCTTTAATCATGATTATTTTGCTCAAAAAATGTCAAAATTTGTCATTTTAACTTTTTATCATCAGAATTGGACTAATAGACGGATTTACCGTGTTACTTACTGTGACTGTCAACAAAGTAATGCAAGTATAAACTAACAGTATTTTCTTCCTGAAGGAGATGGAGGCTTCGGCTCTGTATATAAAGCCGTGTACAAGAATGAAGAAGTCGCTGTGAAGATTTTCAATAAACATGCATCTACACTTTATGTTCATCGGCTGGTACGGCAGGTGAGTTATGCTATAGAAAAAGAAACCACGCAAGTCTTTCACTTGGTTAGGACATGAGCAAGATTACCATTAGTACATTGTTGGCGTATTTGCTTTAAAATGATTTGTCTCCAGGAACTGGCGGTACTTGGCAGACTGTGTCACCCCAGTCTGGTGGGGCTTTTGGCTGCCAGTTGTAACCCAAACATTCTTGTGATGGAACTCGCCCCATATGGCTCTCTGGACTCGCTTTTTGAGCGTGAAAATAGCAGTCTCAGATGCAAGCTACAGCACAGGATAGCACTACATGTGGCAGATGGTCTCAGGTGTGTAGACTAGCTACACAATACACAAAAACTTTAAAGAAGTCAAACATTCTGGGTTCAATTCAAGTTTAAGCTTCAGGACAGCATCTTTGACATGTTTTTCATGTATTCAAACAGATATTTGCACTCATCGATGATTATCTACCGAGATCTGAAGCCACACAACGTTCTGTTGTTTAACCTGAAGACGGATGCTGAGGTCATTGCTAAAATCACAGACTATGGCATAGCGCAGTACTGCTGCAGTATGGGCGTCCGCAGCTCAGAAGGAACACCGGGTACCTCTAGCATTCCCATAATCCTCTATGGAACAGTTATTAAACAAACAGAGGATGTTTGTTTATAGGTTATAATTATCGAATCTTACACACACAGGTTTTAGAGCACCGGAGGTCGCCCGAGGTAATGTCATCTATAACGTCCAGGCAGATGTATATTCATTTGGTCTGCTGCTGTATGACCTAATGACCTACGGCGAGCGGATATCTGATGGAATGAAGTTTCCCAGTGAGTTTGATGAGGTGGCTGTGCAGGGAAAACTACCAGGTAACATGCTGACTTCCTTTGTTTATTTTGATGTTTATACATACAATAACATACATACATACATACAGTTCAAACTTATTATATATATATATATATATATATATATACAGTGCCGTGAAAAGTTTTTTGCCCCTTCCTGTTTTTTAATTTTTTGCATATTTGTCAAACTTAAAAGATTCAGATCATCAAACAAATTTAAGTTAAATCATGAAAGAACTGTGATTAACCACATTATTTTAGAAAGCTGAGTTAAATTTAACTAGCCACACCCAAGCCGGATTACTGCCAGACCTGTTGAATCAAGAAATCACTTAAATAGAACCTGTCTGACAAAGTGAAGCATGCTTAAAGAGCA